CATACACACACACACACACACACACACACACACACACACACACACACACACACACACTCACACACACCCACACACATATATATGAATGTGCATCAGTGTGAAACGGGCGCAGACTTTGTTTTGTCTGACTTTGGGGTCAGAGACAGTTCATCTATATAAACCAGGACCGTGAAAACATCCGTATGCAAAATCTGGCATTTCAGGGTCTGACTGGATGTTTTTATACAGGACACACTTTCTGAATGTTAAAATCTAACATTGCACATTTAAACAACCTATTAATGTCTGTAGCTTTGAGCGCCGAATAAACTTCCAAACAAACCTTTAGCAGATAAATGCATTTAAACACAGCCTTTCTCTGGAGGGTGAAGGCTCAGTTTTGAGCTGATAAACAGGAAGTAGTGGTGAGGTAATGGACAGGAAGTGGCTCTTACGGCGTATGGGTGGTTTGGGCATCATGGTGGAGATGTCCTGAGACCAGTGCAGAGGAACCGAGCCTCGGACCTGAACACAGGAGGAGAAACGGCCCGCCGTCAACGACATGACCAAGGCGTCGTGGATGATCTGCGTTCGCCACATCGCCCTGAAAATACGAGCACATATCACCTGACATACTCGTTTTACATGCTATAGACAAGTACACATAATCAGACATGTTATCAGCTCTTAAAATCAAAGATTACATTTAATTAAATAAAAATAATAATAATAATAATGAAATTTAAAAAGTAGGTTTTAACTATATTTTGCAGAAGGGTACAAAAAAAAACAAATAATAATGAAAATTAAAAGTAGCTTTTAATTTAAAAAAAATATTTTAAAAATTAAAAATGTAAACAAAAAATATTTAAAAAATAAATTTTATTAAATGTTTTTTATGTTAATAACATGTACAAAATAAAATAAAAACATTTAATAAAGTAAAAAAAACATTAAAACGTGGGGTATGTTTTGAGCTCTGAAAATCAAAGACATATAACATAAAACAAAATAAGTAGCTTTTAATTAAAAATCTTTAAAAAAAAAAATAAAAAAATGAAATAATAAATAATATTTAATAATGGGAATTAAAATAAGTATCTTTTAATAAAAAAAATATTTAAAAAATTAGAAATGTAAATAAAAAAGTCTTAAATTTATTAAAATAAAGTTAAATAAAAAAACATTTAATTAAATTTAATTAAATTAAAAAATAATATGAAATAATTTAATTTAAAACGTAATATACATGAAAATTATATAAATTATATAAAACCCGAGTTTTATATAAATTATATCAAAAATAATATTCACTTGACTTCAAACTGTATTTGAGTTTTCAGGCGGCCTAGTGATTTGACACACTACTTTTTGCATATTTTATGGTCGAGAAGTACACATATTCAGACATGGGGTATGTTTTCAGCTCTGAAAATCAAAGATAAATAATCAAAGATTTATAAATAATACTTACATAAGTACAACGTTCCCTTAGTAGCTTCAACACAATTACACAGACTTTTGTGAGTATCCTGCAGTGTAGTGAAATACTTTCTCAAAGACAGCTTGGCTGTAGTTTAATCGTTAAACGTGCAGCTGAAACACGTCAGTATCTTCCCATCATAAAGCATCACAGAGAGCTTAGTGAAGCTTTAACGGCCGACAGCTTTAGAGCAAACGGTCGTTACATAATCACACCTGAACACACAGAGATAAAGAGCATCTGATATCAGCACGCAACAAATGTGACCCTGGAGCACAAAACCAGTCATAAGGGTTTATTTATTATGTATATATAAATACACAAACATTCAGTATATATTTTGAAAATATTTACATGTATATACATTTATATTATATATAAATATATTTAATATATAAACAAAATATTTTTCTTAAATATACACATGCATGTGTTTGTATATATAAATATGCACAGTATACACACACATACATTATGTAAACAAAAACTTTCATTTTGAATGCGACTAATCGTTTGACAGCACTAATAAAAACGTTAAAAAGTATCAATTATTAAAATTAAATTAAATTAAATAAAGTAGGATTCGAGTCTCTGTATTTTGTATATTTTGAAGACTCTTCTTGCATACTATATAGTAGAGAAGTACACATATTCAGACATGGGGTGTGTTTTTAGCTCTAAAATAAAAGAATAGAATCGAATAGAATAGAATAGAATAGAATAGAATAGAATAGAATAAAATAATTTACAGAAGGGTATAAAATAAAATAAAAATAATAAATAAAATCTCTGAAAATCAAAGATAAATAAAATAAAAAATAATGTCAAATTTAAAATAATTAAAAGCTCTGAAGATCAAAGATAGATTAAATAAAATAACAATTAAGAAAAAATAAAATAAATATGTTTTAACTGCATTTTGCTGAAGGGTACGAAATAAAAAATAATGAAAAATTGTAAATAATTAAAAGCTCTGACGTTTAAAGATAAATAAAATGAAATAAATAGGTTTTAACTGTATTTTGCAGAAGGGTAAGAAATAAAAAATAAGGAGAAAAAATATTTTAAAGTTAAATTAAAAAGGATTCTCTGCATTTTGTATATATTTTTAAGACTGCTGGCTGTGTTTGCATACTTCCCGTATTGTGAAGTGAAGAGCTTATTGCAAGTGCGTACTACAATTAGAGTTGCCTAAATACACTTACTTCTCTACTTTAGTATACAAACAGCAATTACTAGGACATCCAAATACTTAATTCATTTGACTTCGAACTGCAATTGAGTTTTCGGACAGCCTTGTGATTTGACATTAGGTTTTTTTTTAGCTCTGCAAATAAAATAAAATAAAAAAAATAAAAATAAAAAAATAAAATAAAATAAAAAAACGTTAAAAAATTAATTGAAAGTTTAAAAATTAAAATAAATACAATTTTGAAGTTAAAATAAATTAAAAATAAATGTATTACATTTAAAGTAGGTTTTGATTCTCCACATTTTGTATATTTTTAGACTCTGATTACTTTGATTGCATTTTTTCTGTAATAAATGAACAGCTTACTTTAAATAAACAAAAAAACTTACTGACCCCAACCTTTGATTTCTCAAGTGTTTTGTGTGCTTCTCAGTTCTTCTCTTGCTCCTTTGAATGCATTAGGCTCTGACATTATAAACACTGTTGACATCCGTGAACCCCTTCACCGCTGCTTCAGGCTCCTAACAGAGAGAAAGCATTACGCCACACAGCAATCAACAGCGCCAGACTCTCTCCGGATGATCATTTCTCTCTCTGTGTGTTCTTTCAGCTCGTTGTGTACCTTTTTGTTCAGTTTTGACCCTCCTGAACTTTCTGCTGGAAAAACAGCTGATGTCAAGCTGGTTTCTGGAACAAGGTAACTGGTTTGTTGCTGGTTCAAAGTGAGATGATAAACCCTCCAAAGCAGCTTAGATCAGCTAGAAACCATGTAATACTATCAGAAGGGAGTTTTAGCTGTATTTAGCAAAACAAAACAAAATAAAATAAAATAGAATAAAATAAAATAGGTTTTAACTGTATTTTGCAAAAGGGTAAAACATTAAAAAATAACAAAATAAAAATTATTTAAAATATATTTAAAAAAAAGATATAAATAATTGTAAAAATAAATAATAATGTATTTATTTTATTTATTTACATTTATTTATTTTATTTATTTATTTAAAATAAAATAAATGTATTTAGCTAAGGTTGCAAAACTAAAAAGATAAAAAATTATAAAATCAATTAAATGAGTTTGTATTTTGCAGAAGGGTAAATAAAAAAAATTACAAAATAAAAATAAAAAATAAAAACTGTATTTTGTGGTAGGGTGCAAAATAAAACAAAAAATAATAAAATAAGAAGGTTTTCTATTTAGTAGGTTTTGTAAAACTGTATTTTACAGAAGAGTAGGAGAAGGGCACAACGTAACAGAAAAAGAAAAATAATGGAAAAAATAAAATAAAATTGTTGTTAACTATTTTGCAGAAGGGTACAAAATAACAACAATTAAAATAATGGAATAAAATAAATGAAATAAAATTGTTGGTTTTAACAAACAAACCATTTTTATTATTAAAAATAATCAAATATTAATATTAATAAATAAATAAATAGGTTTCAATTGTATTTTGCAGAAAGATACACAAAAAAAAAATTTAAAGTAGGTTTTAGCTGTATTATTGCAGCATGACGTGGAAAGCAATTATAAAACTAGATCACTCCCGTGATAAAGAAACAGTGCTGACTACACTGTGCGCATCAGCTGCTGTTACATTCATTTTGTGGATGCTGTTTCTGTTGTAGTATCTCATACACACACATCAAGGTGCATCAGTGTGAAACGGGCTCAGAGATTCATCTATATGAAAACATTCATACGCACTACAGACCACAGACAGACGGAGACGGATCTGAGACAACAACCGAACATCATCTATAAAAACCTCATATAAGAGGATACTGGATTGGCTGCAGCATCCGTGAATGATGTAGAGCAGCCAATCAGGATGAACGAAGCCTTCTCCAGCAGACGAACATTCCACACATACTTAGCATACGGCTCGTTAATCAAACACAAACACGTCAATTAATGATTCACAAACTAAAATTAAAGTTAAAAACAGAAAAAAATTTAATTTAATTTAGTTTTAGTACTAAAATAACTATAACTAAAATTAAAACTAATATAGAAAACTATATAAACATTTTTTAAAAAGTAAAAAACAAAAACAGTACAAAAAAAACGCAAAACCACAAACTAAAATTAAAGTTAAAAACAGAAAAAAATGTAATTTAATTTAGTTTTAGTACTAAAATAACTATAACTAAAATTAAAACTAATATAGAAAACTATATAAACATTTTTTAAAAAGTAAAAAACAAAAACAGTACAAAAAAAAACGCAAAACCACAAACTAAAATTAAAGTTAAAAAAATTTTAAAAAAATTATTCAGTAAAATTAAATAAAGAACATAATAGAAATATTTGCAATATCAATATACATATATAAATACACACATATATATATATTCACATATACATATATACACACATATACATTATATATATATATATTACTTATTTATTTTTTAATGAAGGAGGTCTCATTAAAGTCTGAGATTAAAGTTCTAACAAATGTATTCTTTTTCTCTATGATGAAACCCAATAAAAATAAGAAAGTACATGTGCATCAATTTTTCAAGATTGTTTTGTCGAACGTCTTCTTGACAATAAATGGCGCTTTATATATTTTGTGATCTAATACAACATTCAGACATTTATAAATGTTCAAACAGGTTTCAGGACTGCTGTCTGATTATCTGTATTATTATTCGACTGAAATGACTTCAGCTGCTGTAATACACTTCTTTGCTAAAACCAAGAGACGGAGGAGAAAACGGTACGGCCAGATCGGTGGAAAGAAACGGGGAAAAGGACAAATAAGGCCACATGAGCGGCGCATCTGAGGAGCTCAAGAAATCATATTTCCATTACAATGATCTGGAAGTGATTCGAGGTCACGGTATTATGAATACGAGACGCTTTCTAAAGGGCTCTGAGATAAAGGACAAGACAGACAGATGAAGAATCACACGCTCACCTGAAGTAGAAGTTACTGGACAGATGCACATTCTGGAAGATTCTCACATATCTGTGGAAAAAAACTGCAAATTAAAACATTCTAGTCTGAATTTGTTCATGATATAATCATTAACCAACTGGGCCTACACTAACATAAAGTCTGGAATGATTTAGATATTTTAAAAAGTGTTTTCTGCTCATCAAGACATTATTTATTTGATCCAAAATACATAAAAAATTGTTAAATATTATTATAAATTAAAATGGCTGTTTTCTATGTGAATATCTGTTAAAATGTAATTTATTTCTGTGATGCGCAGCCTAACCCTAACCCATTATTAAATGTTTTCAGCATCATTATTCCAGTCTTCTGTGTCACATGATCTTCAGAAATCAGTATAATATGCTGATTTGCTGCTCAAGAAACATTTCTGATTATTATCAATGTTGTTGCCACCCAATATATGCTGCACTTTCTATTCATCCGTGAATCCTGAAAAATGAAATGTATCAGTTTCCACACAAATATTGTGCAGCACGACTGTTTTCAGCATTGATAATAATCAGAAATGTTTCTTGAGCAGCAAATCAGCATATTATACTGATTTCTGAAGATCATGTGACACTGAAGACTGGAGTGATGATGCTGAAAATTCAGCTTTACAATCACAGGAATAAATCATTTGTCATAATTTTTAATGTATTCCAGATCAAATAAATGCTGCCTTGGTGAGCAGAAGAGACTTTAAAAACCACTAGTTTGCTAGTACCAAGATAATTACAATGTACTTTTTGCTGGGTGTTTTTGTCTTATTAGAAAGGTGCTTGCAAGAAACAATTCAGATTCTTCAGATACAATGTAACATGAGTAGATCTGAAGGAAAAGCAATGTTATTGAAGCGCTCAACCTAAATTGGACACAAAGACGTAAACGGTGTCTCGTGTTACATGAGTCAACAGTTACAGGCTGTACTTCTGAAAGTACTGTGTTACTGTAAAGCTCTAACACATCAGGAGTGACGAATAACAAACTTCATTGTCGTCACACACACACTCACACGCTCTCACACACACACACACACACTCACACACACACACACACACACACTCTCACACACACACACTCTCTCTCACACACACACTCTCTCTCCCACACACACACACACACACACACACACACACACACACACACACAGTGCCAGGAAAACCTGAAGAAACAGTCTGAACAGTATACTAGCATACTAACTATCACTACTACTGCAGTATGCACGCTCAAAACATACTGTGTGTGAGATTTCTGCATGCAAAGAGCCTCAAAAGACTCATTAGCTGTGTCCGAAACCACTCACTCACTCACTCACTCACTCACTCATCCCTATTTTGATTAGTAATATGCATTGCTAAGAACTTCATTTGAACAACTTTAAAGATGATTTTCTCAATATTTAGATTTTTTTGCACCCTCAGATTCCAGATTTTCAAATAGTTGTATCTCGGCCAAATATTGTCCCATCATAACAAACCATACATCAATGGAAAGCTTATTTATTCAGCTTTCAGATGATGCATAAATCTCAATTTCTAAAAAAATGACACTTATGACTGGTTTTGTGCTCCAGGGTCACATATAGTGAATGGCAGCTGAGTGGACTATATCAGAAAGGAGTGAACGAAATGAAGTGAACGGATTCAGACGGTGACGTATACACTGCGCGTGAGAAACATCTTCATCATATGTACATTTATATTACATGAACCTCATTTTAGAAAATAATATTAATAGCAATAACACTTAAAATTACTTTATATTGTAATTGTACATACCTCCGTGTCAGCTTTGTGGTTTCATCGATGGTATATTATTAATTTCTTAATCATTAAATACTATTAAAAATGGTCAACTAAAATAAACACACATTAACGCGTGTTCATAATTGTATGCATTTATTGTTTGTAGTATTCTGAAGCTCTCCCGAGCAGCGTTTTGCGTTTAGAGCGCCCTCAGGCACCCGTTAATGAATACGCTACCAACAAACATTTTTAAATATCCACCAAATTATCATAATTTTTTGTAAATTAGCAAAGATGCCACCTCGGTAAATTAATAAAATATTAAACTGAGTTAATGCCTACATAATATATTTTAATATAAATAATGCATGAAATAAACGTTAAAGCAGAAATAATAACGGCATTCAAACTTTTGTGGGAAATAGTGCTTCAGCAAGTGTACACTCGAAATCAGAATGCATTGTGGGTAAAAAGTAGTGAACGAATGCAGGGAATGAAGTCGTAGTGATATAGTGCACTATATAGTGGATAGGGAGCGGTTTCGGACACAGCTATTATTTATTCTGAATGCTAAAAGACATTTTAACACAAAATTGGATGCAAAATAGTACTATAACTGGATAAAATGACACTAATATAGCAACTACAAATCATTAACTATTTAACCCTGTAAAGCTTGACATATGAAATAACCGTCGGAAAAAAAATCTTTTTTTTTTTAATGTAACATTTTTTATAAATATTTTTGTACAAAAAAAGTTGAGATGTGTTTTTATTTTTTTTATCATGCTTATGACGACACGTGAGGATATGAAGACAAAACAGCTCAATTTTATTTAGAGACTCTGAAAATGAGTAAAAATATTCAATTTGGTGCAGG